ACTTTTTCTTAAATCATTGATTTCTTTAATAAATAATTATTATTTAATTAAAAATATTGGATAAATATAATTAATTTTTTTTTTATTTATAATAAAAAATTATATTTAATAATAAAAAAATTTAAAATAATATTTTTCAGAAATAATAAGTAATTAAATTCAAAAAAATATGACTATAATTAGTAAAAAAATAATTATAATTATATAATTTAAAAAAATACTATTTATTAAAAAAATAATAATTAATTATAGAAAAAATATTACAAAAAATGATAATAATAATAATTAATAAGAAATGAGTAATAATTATTTTTTTTATAAAAAAATGCATTTATTTAATAAAGAACAACAGTTATAATTATTTTCTAACAATAAAATAGCATTAATTAAAAAAAAAATATTATTAAAAAATTATTTTTAAAATTAAAATTATATTAAAAATTTTTATTTTTGTAAAAAGAAATTATTTTTAATAAAAATTTAGTAATTATCAATAAACTAATTTTTAATAAAGAAATTAATGATTTAATAAAAAAGTGATAAAAATATAATTAACAATAAATATATAGTAATAATAATATAATTAACAATAAATAATATATAATTAAATTTGAATAAAAAATAACTGTACTTATTATGATAACAAAAAAGGAATTGTAATTCTTTTTAAACATGAAATAATTAAAATAAAACAATTAACTATTGAAACAGTATTAATTTATTTTAAACAAATATAATTATATATATAATAATTATTTAATAAAGAAATTAATGATTTAATAAAAGAGTAATGATAATAATAATATAATTAACAATAAAAAATTGTTATAACAATATATACAACAATAATAAAAAATATGTAATTTTGAATAAAAAATAACTATAATTAATAGCAAAAAACTAATTATAATTCTTTTTTAACATAAAATCATTAATATAAAAAAATGTAATTATTGAAACAATAACAATTTATTTTTAACAAAAAAAAAATTTAAAAAAATAACAATTGTTTAATAAAAAATCAATAATTAAATAAAAAATTAATTATTACAGAAAATAATACAAACAATTATTATTCAAATTAAGCGACTCAAAACTTGTCTTCAGAGAAATACGTGGAAAGTATATGCACCATAACGGTGAAAAAAAAAATTATATAAATATATAAATATTTATGTATATAACAAATGGGTTTTCTATTAAAAAGCACCAAAAAATAATAATTTTAAATACTACACACACACACACTGACAGCTGGTGTGTTGAAATGTCAAAATTTGCCTCCGCAGCCACAACCACAAAAATATACTAAAAATCCATAAATTCTTTGACATTCGCAAATCGGAAAAAATATTTTGCACTTTAAAGAAATTGGCAAAAATAAAGTTATTAGTTATTAAATTAAATGTATAAATATATTAACATATAAATTAAGTGCTTACAAAATTTTTGTGCATTATACCCAATTATTTGCTACTCAAAAGCACTCACAATGAATACCATACATACATACTTATACAACAGGTTATATATTATACATACATACCACTGAAAATATAAATATTCAAAAGAGAAGTTTTTTTTCTTTATTTTTTTTTAAATTTTTTGCACAAAATATGCAAACATATATATATATATATACATATATTTATTTATATGTATTTTGTAAAATTTAAAATAAAAAATTCATTTAAAAAAAAATTATAATAAAAAACAATTGAATTAAAAACAAATGAAAGAAAAAAAATTGGCAAACAAAAACTCAAAAACACACTGATTGTGCTATGTAAATAAATGTAAATTATATACAAAGAAAAAAAATTAAATACTTGCGAAATAATTGCTAAAATTACCGCAAATTAAAAATAAAATGTAAAAATTAAAACAAAAAATATATTAAATAAAATAAAAGAAATTGAAAATATGAATCAATATGTAATCTCTATTTATGTATATGTATTTGATGTAATAACAATTATCTACTACATACAAACATACTTACTTTTATATATGATATATAGCATATTTACTAACACTGATTCCAAGTTCTTGTAACCAACAACACAAACAAAATAATTAAGAAAAATCACTAAATGCGAAAAAGAAAAAATAAAAAAATAAAAATAAAACCAAATAATTTATAAACAAATAAAGCTATTTCGGTAGTAGTTGTGCGTAGTTGTAATAATTAGTAATCCTATTTGTATTGTAATATTTAATTTTATTTACTAATAAAATTTTATTTTGATATAAAATACATATATACATATACATAGATATGTGCGTACTTCTAATAGTAATTTGATAAATGCATATTTTCCCTCATTTCAATGCTACACAAAAAATTGTAGGAAAAAATCTCCAAATGCTTATTAGAAATACATAAAAAAAAGTAAAAAAAAAAATGCACAAATTCATACATACATACTCGTATATAACTATTGTATAATGTACTAAAATATAATTTTGTTTACATTTACTCTTAATATTTATAATTAATTAGACGTACTAATGGAAAAAAATTACGAAAAAATACAAAAAATTATGAAAAAGAAAAACATAATAATACTAATAAAAATAAAAACAATTATGAGAAAAAAAGTAATATACAATAATAATGCTTTCAACTGAATAAAAGTTCTTTGGAAATTATTATGCAAGAAATCAAGGTATTTTACTTTCATGGGAGGGCAAGTGGGCGAATGGCTTTTTTTATTGCTTTTTTTTTTTGTTGGATAGCTAACTTCAAATTGAAAAAATCACACAGCGGCATAGAGGCAGCTACTTACTGAGCTGTCAAATGCAGTTTTAAAATCTATGAAAAGATGCTGTGTATCATTTATGGCTTCATAGTTCTGTTCCAAGATTTGACGCAAGGTGAACAGCTGTTCAGCGGAAGATTTACCTGATCTAAAGCTGCACTGAATACGGTGAACTTGAAACCCCAAGCGATGGCGATAGCAAGGACGCTCCATTACCTGAGCTTATACAGCACGAGAAGGAGCTGTCTGCTGGCCAATATGACCGAATGCGGTATCCCCGCAAAACTTTTACGGCTATGTACACTGACGTTAAACAACACTAAAAGCTCCGTCAGGATCGGGAAAGACCTCTCCGAGCCGTACGATACCAAACAAGTTTTAATACAGGGTGACTCCTTATCATGTGACTTGTGGGATCACCCTTTTTGTTCATTGGGCAAAACAATGGGCGGGCATACTTGCGTCCGACCATATTTTGCAAAGAAGCTGCTGCATACAACTTGTCAGCTCTTCACAGCTACTTCTGAACAGCTCTGCTGGTAAGCCATCGGTGTTAGCCGCTTTATTGTTCTTTAAGCGGACAATCGCAATTCGAACTTTCTCATCATCAATAGGGATTTCAGGTTAGCCCTCTTAGGGTGTTGTATTTTCACTGCCATTTTGCAGGCTGAAGAAGTGTTCCCTCCATACACCAAGATAATCTGGACATCGGACACGTAGGTTCCGGTTGCGGTGAAAACTTCCGTTAGTCACTGCATCGAGAGAGGTTTATTTTCGAGCGTTATTCTTGTCTGCCAGCTTCTCAAGCTCCTCATTACTCTCGCAATACGGCCTCTCTCTTCTTTCGCCTGCAAATGCGTTTTGTTTATCTCTTCAACGGTATCTCTCGGTATCTATCGCACTTCGCACGTGTTGTAATCAATCTCAACGTTGCGAGGTAGGCAGGCTGCTTTCTCTCCACTGCGACTCGATAATGCTCATCGTACCAGGTGTTCTTTTTTCGATGTTTTCGAAATCCGATAATTTCGTTTGCGGCGGCATGTTCCATCCTAGAGTTCTCTTTTACCGAGTTGCTGATGAGTGATCTCTGAAAGCAGGTGTGAGTAGAAAACTGCTCGCTTGTTTGTTATGATTGCAGCTTTTCGACGTTAAACCTTCCTTATGACCAGAAGACAGGAGACATGTATTCCGCCAATCACAACATAAATGATTTGAACGATTTGTTAAATTTTTTGTCTTATATTCAATGTTTTTTTTATAGATTTTTGATGAAATTTTCCGTGCGCTATCACCGCTCCATGCAAGCCCACGCACTGTGCGCTGGAAGGTAACGCCCGGGTTCGTTGTAAAAGAAACTTACTTTGTCGTCGAAAGATTAATACAACTCAAGAGAGGTTTATTTTTTAAATGTTTAAATTTATTTGTATGTATGAATTTATTTAAGTTATCATTTAAGAAAATAGAATTCTCATTCTCTTATGTATATGTATTTATAATTACATGTATATATTTATGTATGTAAGTTTTACGAGAAATTAAATTTCGAGACACATCTTATATGTACAAATATGCATTTCATACATATCTATATATATCTTATATTAAAATGTACATATATAATATGGGTTTTTGTTTTTATTGAACTTACTTGAAGTATAGCTAAATATTATATATGTATTTATATAATATATATTATAAATATATTTATGTAAATTTGCAGCCTTACCGCCTTCAGTCTATGTTTATCGAGAAAATTAAGCATAAAATTATAATTTTTTTAAATGTACATACACATACATACATAAGAATACAGTTCAAAATACATACATATACGTAATGTGTAAATGTCTTATTAATTATAATTAATATGTATTAATTAATTAATTATTAATATTTTTTTACTATCTTAGCGAATGCGCAACATTCGTTTATAAACAAAATGCGTTGACGACTTTCTTTAAAGAAAAAAAAAATACCTCATAAAATACATATACATACTTAAATATGTTAACTAAATCAATTTCAATATTTTTTTGTATATAATGTATATATAGTCGTATGTAAAAATGCACGTAAATTAATTTGTTTCTTTTTTTTATTAATAAAATATTAATTTTATTATCTATGTATGTATGTACTATGTATATATCTATAAGTCTGTTTGTTTATATTGTATGTAAGTATGTAATATTAACTAGATGAAAATGCTTATTTTTCGTAATTCAGCAATTTATTTAATTTTTTTTTTGTTGTTGTTGTCTTTCACCGCCCACACCCCTGGCTGGCTTGGCTGCCTGGGCTATACGGGCTTACTGTTTGGCAAATATATTCGCATTTTGCGTAATTATCTTCTCAATACAATTCTTTACATTATTCTTATGCGGCTCGGGTATACTCTCGAGTTTCGGCAGCATTTTGATGAGAAAGTGAAAATCGGTGGATAAATTGATATTTTTCTGTGGCACCAATTCGACCTGTGCCATGGTTGTGACCACGCCACCAACTTGGTTGCCGACACCGTTGGCATGACTTACGTATCTAATGTTTGTATTGTTTGGCGGTGTTGTTGCTGTCGTTGTTGTAGTATTAATTGTGTTGTTGCTGTTGACATTGTTGTTGTTAGTAGCCTTACCCGTCAGACGTTTGATTTCACATGTGCTGCTGCTGCTGTTGCTGTTGTTATTGTTATTGCCATTGTGAGTGTGATTGGTGCTGTTGTTGTTGTTTTTGTTGCTGCTGTTATCGTTTTGATGGTGCTGACGCGCATTCAGCGTCACCGCCGATACAATGACCGGTGTCGCCGCAGAGATTTGTTTCACTTGACCTGGCGGTGTTGCAATTTTTTGTTGTGTACTGTTGTTGTTGTTGGCATTATTGTTACTGCTGTTGCCAAAATTGCCCCAAACATTGTTAGTGGTTTTATTAAAATTATCACTGAAATTATTAGCAAAACTATTGCCGTTATAATTAGTGGTTATGATTTTTGTACGATTTTTTTTTGGTGGCAGTGTAATTGGTAGTCTTTCATTGGCTGGTTTTTCATCAGTCGTCTTTCTGTTGTTATATGGCTCTTGTTTCAACTGCAGCTGTGTTTGTTGCTGATGCTGTTGCTGCTGCTGTTTATGCTGTTGTTGTTGTTGCTGCTGTGATAACGGTTCGGATTTGATAATATTTAAATTGACGCTGCCGTTCAAAAGTTTCGACGTCACCGTCGTCGTTGTTGCATGCAGCGGCGCATCATACGCCAATACTGCTCCTCCTACTCCTCCTCCGCCTCCTCCTCCGCCCACTCCATTCGTTTCCTTTGCCTGTATACGATTCAATATCTCTGGCAAGATTTTCTCAAATTTCTCCGTCAACGTGCCACTGTCCGCTTTGTCTGCAAAGAGTGTCAGCTTTTTTGTGCCACCCGCACCTGCAATCAGACCATTTTCTCTTTTCAAATACTTTTGTGCATCTCTACTTATGGCATCTTCACCTTCGCCATACTCCTCACCACCATCTTCCGCACCACAACTATTCTCCTCCATTATCAGATACATCTTCCGCTTCTGACCTGTTGTCAATCCACTCGCCGCTGTTGATGTGGACGCTTCCACACCCGCATACTCATCCGTCTTCTCGGTGATCATGAATACTTTGCGATTACGTAACGCTGCTGGGTGTTGGTTGGTGCTGGCGGTTGTGGTGTTGTTGATGCTTGGTTTACAGAGTAAACTGTTGAGTGTACGCGGCGCTTGGGCGACCACATGTGTTGTGTTGAGTAGTGACCTGGTTGATTTTGTTGCTGTTGTGCTTGCTGCCGTTGGCGTCGGTGTTGTGCTGGTGGTTAGCACGATGGGCGGTGGCGGAGATTCGGTGTCTGAGTTCATGTCGCTGATTTGCGAGATGGTGGAGGTGATGGATGATATGGAGTTTGTACGTTTCGGTGCTGTGACAATGATCGTTGAGGTGCCGCCACTGATATTTTGGCTGAGTTTTGGTGGTGCGGTGGAGTGACGCAGGCGTTTCTGTGGAAGAAGAAAAAAAACAAGTTTAAATATATTTGGGAATAAATAAATACTTGAAATTTTCAATAAAATCCGTCACATCCTGACTGGAAAGCACACACACACCATACACATACCGAGCACTGAACACGTTTGAAGGATCACTATTTGAGGAAATTCATCTGGAATTACCAATTCCTTAATTGGGAAGCCACCGCAGCCGAGCCGGTTGATGCCCTTGTAAAAATTAAGAATTAGGATGGAGGGCAAGACGATGGAATATCGCCTCGACAAGTCCCCCAGTATATGAACGTCCCGCCATAATTAGCGTCTAAGTGAAGTTTTCGGCTTATTGCACCACGGCGAAAGAGAAGAGCGATATAACCAGAGATGCTCTCTGTGAGCGCCTAGAACGAAGCTATGAGCACTTTTTATACCAGAAGAAGGGATCCTCGAAACATGAGTCGGAAAATTCAGCCTCCACGATGAAACATTCCCATATGGGCTGCGAAAAATTTCATAGAGCTACCGAATCGATCTTATTATAGTAGAAGTACCGCGGATTTAACATCGACTCAAGCCGCAAACTTTTTGCTAGCCAAAACACGCATTCGCCTGTGTGCAACAAATAGCGCCAGTCAAAAACCTAAAAAATGTTCCAACGTCGAAGAGCTACAATCAAGAACCTCTCTGAGTCATTCGGTACCAAACGAAGTTGCATCTCCGATCACGACTGGAGGTATACGCCAAAGGAATACAAGAAGATGAAGGAAACTTCTGAGTAGAATCCTCCTCCTTATATGACTCACTTATGGCTTATTTACTTGTCTAAAAATCAAAACCAAATTCTTAATATCTTCAAATCAAAACACATTACTCATTTCCCTCAGTCATAATATCTCTAGAAAAAAATTTGTCACTTCAATTTATCATATGATACCAATTCAAATCGCTTCACTTATTGCTATCACATGATGTTAAATCAAGTGGCGTCACGCTTTCCTTTTAGTTATATTATACCTTACCTTACTCGTAAGTAGCATCATATATAATAAGATTTCAAGTTAAATTGCATAGCTCAATTTTATACGTCACATAACACTTTTTATGACTATAAAAACGCATCGTCTCATCACATCGTGTCATGATGTCAAAGTAAAATAAATCAAATCAATCAATTTCTCAAATCAATGCATACATTTTTTTCCTGTATCTCAAAATATAATTGTCTCTCAAATTGCATCGCACCACATAATCATACATGAGTTCACATCCCTTCGTCTCATCATCATTTTTTCTTATCATTAAATCACATCGCGTCATTTTATTTCAACAAATTAAGCAATCCCTAAATTCCACTAATCACATGATACCAAATCAAATCATGTAAGTTATAGCATATCTACATTTTGTTACTCATAAATCACTTACACATTTTTCATAAGTCACTCCATATATTTTCTTACTAGAAAGTCACATTATTTCATTACATCATGTAGTGATATCACATCAAATGAAATCGAATCACTCAATGCCTCAAATCCTAACATCCACTCTACAGCAAATCAAAGCAAATGCATCACTTCACATAACATCACCACTACGATGTATTTTAAAACTTTCATCGCATGTGTATTTTCTGATTAAAAATTACATCATCAGACGGCGCCAATCATCATTATCTTCCTTAAAACAAATCTCATTATCAAATGTCTTAATTTTAATGATGCGACATCAAATCGCATCGCATCCATAAGTCAAATTATACCATGAGAAATGTCACATCTTATCCTAATATGCCTTCAAATCCATATCACTCAACATCGCAATCAAGTCATGTGACATAACACAACATTTCATTGAAATCATATAAGCATTTTTTTTTGGATAAACAACAAAAAAACACTTAACCTGCCACTCATACTCCCTCACACAAGCCACAATCTCATTACCTTGACATCGTCTAGCGGTGCAACAGTATGGCATGTCGTTGCCACTACTGGTTTGGATATGGCGGCGGTGGCCGTGGCGGCTGATGCCATTAACGCATCCTTCTGCATGCGCGTCGGTGTTGTTTTTATTCGTGTCTTCGCCATCGTCGTATACACTTGTGGCAGTTGTTTTATATACAATTGTTGTCGTTGTTAGTATTTATGTAATCCATCAACGTACGAGTCTTTCAAGTGGGTTTATTGTTTTCGTAGTGTTGTTGTGGCACGACCCTTGAGACGTATACAAGAAAAAAGCTGCTACAAAATCTTTCATTTACCGTCTCTTACTCTTCTTCTTCGTCTCGTGTGCTTACGTTTTGATGTAGTTTTTGCAACATATGCTGCGGTAGACTACCAACACCATCACCACTGATGAGCGACTGTTTGGTACGCTGGAGTGCGTTGACGTTCTTCGTCCTTTTCCTCTACTTCGCAAATTGTGCTTTTGCTTGTTTGTTATAGTTCACCTTGAAGTTTATGCTAAGAATGGCCGCAGTGTAGAACACGCAAGTATATTGTACGTACGAGTATGTATGTCGATGGCGACTAGTTTGAAGAGACAGCTGCAATATTAAACAAATAAGTTGGAGCATATTAGTATTACTGTATGTTGAGCTGAAAAGTAAAAGGTTGACAATGAGAAATTAAAGTTATTCTGGAGTCATAGAGAGCGCAACTCTCTCAATAAAGCACTGCCTATGCACACATACTCGCACATCCGAGCCTGAAACCATACAGAAGCATTGTACATATACGTCATGCACGGTGGTGTGCAGCAAAATAGAATAGAACTCCTCTCTGAAGCTTTTTCAAGCGACTCTCTTAGCGAGTAGCGCTCAAATTTGAAGCAGAATAGCTTTTTAACCAGCCATTTTTAACGGTAGATGCATCTTTCGTTGAAGCTAACGACCGAAACCTGGTGGTCATAATATAAGCCAACAACCGTAGTATAAGCCTCACGTAATATCATTATCAATCGTTTTATGTGAGTCCTTATTAATGTAGCTTAAGACTTGGTAAGTCAATCATTGACCAGACATTCATCATGCGCCAAATCTAGGAAAAGATCCGTGAAAAGAGGATCGACACACACCACCTCTTCACCGATTTTAAAGCAGCCTTCGTCAGCACGAGAAGGAACTGCCTCTACGCCACAATGACTGAACTTGATATCCCCGCAAAACTTATGCGGCTGTGTAAACTGACGCAAGACAACACTAGAAGCGCAGTCAGAAACCTAGGTTTCAGACAGGTTTACTATTTATCCCGCTATTTCTTTTAAGTTGATGTTGGAGAAAATTATAAGAGCCGCAGAGCTGTATGGAGAAGGTACGAAGAACGATGGCAAGACGAAATATCTCCTGTCACCGATTAAATAGTCATTGCATTCGCGACTAGGCTCTCTTTGTTGGCAGTCATAACATCGAGACCGTAGATAATTAGCACCAACAACAATGTCAGCCTGGAAATCCGACGCAGAATCACTCTTCCAAACAGGTAATACTTTGGACTTAGTGGACAATTGAAAAGTAAATTACTCTCTCGGCGAACGAAAACCAAACTCAACGAGTCGCTCATCATATCCATCCTACTATAAGGCACAGAAACGTGTTGACGATGTCAACATCTGATGAGTCTGCGCTGGGAGCCTTCGAGAGAAAAATTTTACGAGCGATTCATGGTACTTTGCGCACTGGCAACGGCGAATACCACAGACGATGGAATGATAACCTGTGCGGGCTACATCATGATATTGATATAGTTCAGCGAATGAAGAGACAGCGGCTACGCTGGCTAGGTCATTTCGTCCGAATGGATGAAAGCACTACAGCTCTGAAACTATTCAATGCAGTACTTGCTGATAAAAGCAGAGGTTGAGAAGGACCTCCACTCCGCTGGGATAATCAGGAGGAGAGCGCCTTGGTTTCACTTCTTATTTCCAACTGGTGCGAAACAGCGAAGAGAAGAACAGAGTGGCGCGCTATAATTAATTCGGCTATAATCGCATTAGCGGTAGAAGAAGAAACAGAAGTCTTTTTCATTTAAATATTACTTTATATTATAGTTATTACGTATAAAAGTTAAACCATTTAGATTTTCTTTCAACAACATGAAGTATATAAATATGTAAATTCCCGGCTCTATTTAACGGCGAAGCACTGTATATAAGCAATAAAAGCTTACGAGCGCATACAGTACATTGACCATTGCCATTGATACAAAGAGCTTCCGACACCGAGCTTTTATGCGCTTATAGAATTATTCGTCGCCGACTGAGCACAGATAAGGAATTAGAGCAGCGATGCATGCTTGCAGCTGAAAAGCTTTGAGAGACCACAATGCACATGTATGTTGATATATGTATATACATATATATTTATAAATAAACACAATGCAATGCTTACTTTAAACGAGACTCATTTGTTGTACACTAACAAAGCCAATAGAAACTTAATACATTTGGCACTGGTTTTGGTGAGAAACTTCCAGTAACTTCAAAAAAAAAACATGGAAAAAAGCACTTACAACTAAATGCAAGAAAGAATATACATCAGGGAGTGTAATGAAGATGCAACTTAATTTAATTTAATTTTCTTTTATTTCCGCCTTATTATTGTAATTGCTTTATTTTTATTTTTATTTTTTTTGCAACAAGCTATAAATACATACATACGTCGACTAGTGAAGCTGAAGTCGAATATATTCATATTTATATGTATGTATGTATTATTTGCGGAGTTTTCGGATATGAAGGCGCTTGCCATTTGCTATGTTTGGAGTTGTACGCGAGTGACTAACGCCAACGTACGTATATATGTTTGTATGTTTGTATTCTCCAGCGCTTCCATTGCCATTGCATGCAAGAACTTGCTGGACAAGTTTAAGGTCAAGTTTAAATACTAAACCGAATTCACTCTAAAACACGGTAAAAATGATACAAATGTTCAAACAGTTCATTTTTATTGCAAAACACTGCAAGCCAATTGCGTTTAGCTAAGCTCTGAACATTGTATATGGTCATGGAGATGGTCAACAAACTCAGAATCTTTCAGGTCCAAGTCAATAGCGGTGGAGCTTACTTAGCTATAGGTATCGTATCTTAACTAAATGTGACGAATATGTGTATGTATGTAGATATGTATGCACTAGCATTTACAATATACAAACATATGTATGTAAATATATTTTCTTTACACTCACGCCACTTAATACATGTATGTACATACATACATACTTCACTCCAACTAATTAGCCACTATAATTCCACTATTTTTCTACAAGTTTTCTCACTGGTTTCACTTGTCCTTGTGTATTCTAATTCAAAAAAAAAAGCTATTGAGAGCAAAAAAAAAACTAAAACACTCAACTTCTGTCCACATAAACTAAAAAACGCGTCACACTCGTATTCGTCAGCGCCGTGATCAACCGATCATGTCCGGAGTTCTTTGTTTACTGGATGTGCAATTTCTTCTACTTTTTAGCTGCAGCTTTAAAATTAGAATCTCATGCTTTCTGCACTCCGTCAACGAACCGCTTGTCTGCACAATACTGGGCTTTGCTGACGCTGCCTTCAAGTGCGCTTTTTCCGTATTTGCTTTGCACATCCTCGAGACCGTCATTGCCTACCACAATGCACTTGCTTGCCTCTCAGGCGTTCAACTGCAAGTATGTGCATATATATACATATATATAATATTTGTACATACTGTAAATAGCTCTCTTTTTCGTATTTACCTACATATACTAAAAACTTAAATGTATATATTTCCTGCAGCACAAAACTTTTACGGCACATAATACTCACATGTACTCGTATATACGAGTATGTACACACAATAATTAAGCGAAAGCGGCTCAACAGCCCAAAGTTGATTGGAAGTTCTTGTCCGCGAAAAGTTTCCTGTATACATTTCGACAAGAACTTCACAAAAGTTCCTCATACTCTTGGACTTGGTTGGCCGCCGCTGCTATCAATGGCATACTGCAAGCGCGAGTATGCAATTGAGTATACATACAGTATGTATGTGAAAGCATAAAAGCACTTTGTGTTTATTTATATAATGTTTATTCATACATACGTGTACATATATAATGGGATTTCCATCTACTTTTTCATTTATGGTTCTTTGAAATTCTCTTTATTGCAAAAACTTCTATATAAATACCAAGCAGAAGTTTAGAGAGTGAAGTTTAGCACACTCCATCTCTCCCTCCCTCTCAAAATGAGTTGACAGAATGTGCCGTTTTTTTCAATCGGAAATACATGCTGCTATACAAGAAAAATTCGTAAAGTTATGAAAGTAAAAGGAATCATATTATGTGTCGGATAAGAACGTTGAAAAGCAGTATAAATGAAAAAAATTTAAATCTTATAAATACATACATATACGAATATCATTAAAAAAAAATGTCGCATGAAAGAAAAAATCAACAAAAAATACTGAGAGTGGCGAAACATTCACGACCAATAGCATTGACTTGCTATGTTATGGCGGCCGCTAAGCAGAGTGATTAGCATTGCAAGCTATTCTAATTGTGCCCGACCCTCGTCAGGGAATATCAAGCGCTCCGAGTGTATTACTGACAAGAAATAAAACAGCTCCACATAAGAAAACCCATCAGCCATTCAGAGGTAGCTTATAATAAACTGCATGTACATCCATGTGTTGGAAAAATATCAGGAGCCATACCACAAATATGGTGAGGAGCTCGGCTTGCTTTACATCTAGAGATATTTTGATAATATACACAGTGGATACTATTTAACACTGCTACTGGCTGCTAAGTGGACATACAGAAAAGCTGATAGTTTCCTTAAGGATATGCAGTAGCATCCGTAAGAAAGATGAGGAAAATGAGTGTATGCATTGTGACCCACTTCATGCCCCCTGAAACTAACACAGCAATGTAAATAGCGATGGATGTATGATGAGGTTGAGCTTGCTTGCTTTACTGGCGTGGACGCCGCTTACGCGATTATAGCAGAATTTATAACCAGAACCTTCTCTGTCTGGTCTTTCCAACGGAGTGGAGGTCTTCCTCTTTCTCTGATTCCACCGGCGGGTACCGCTGTTTCTTGATTCACTGTACTATGTCAATGCTGCTCATCATTCCAACGTCCGCAATATTCGCCGTTCACAACACGTACCGCACCGTAAATCTTACGCAAAACCTTTCTCTCGAAAACTCCTAACGCCGACTCATCAGATGTTGTCGTCGGCCATGCCTCCGCACCATATAGCAGCACGGCAACGGATAAGCGATTTGCAGAGTTTGATAAAGTTGAGTGTTCAGGACAATAACGTGCTATTACCAAGGTCCTTTCTCTGACCGCAATGCATGGATGTTCCCACAGTGGAAGCTACTTCTACTAATCTACTCAACTACGTGTCTGAGGACTAGGAAGACTAAAGAGACAGTTAAAAATCGCGACGCTAAACCTTCTAACGTCCTCCTCGTTTGCTACCGAACGGCTTGGAGAGATCCCTTCTAATTCTGACCGCGCTTCTGGTGTGCGGGGGATACCAAATTCAGACATAGCGTTGACTTACCAGGTCTAAAGCCAAACTAACAAGGTCCAATCAGTTTGTTGACGGTGGGCTTTAGTCCTTCACACAATACGCTCGGCAGTATCTTATACGTGTCTTCGATCATTACTGATCGAGTTTTCCGGTTTACCGTCACCGGATGTTCTATTTTCACTGTCGTTTAGCAGGCTGCAAAATTGTTTCGTATCCTGTGTATCTGTCACTAGCTCACCATTCTGGGTCTTAAAAGACTCTCTGCTGCTCTCAAATAAAAAAGGATGTAGGAGATCCTTTGAATAGGGATTTCTAGCTTCAGTCACTGTTTATTGAATAAAGAACAAGTTTAAAGCTCCCCTTACTCGAAACTATAATGCATTTAAATTAAATATTATAATTAACTCAATTATCCAGAAATATGTATGTACATAGGACATATACATAAGTATGTATATAGTTCTTCATTTTCATGTTTTTTTTTAATTTAGTTCTTCTCATTCAATATTCTCAACCCTTAAGAGCTCGAGTATATTTTCTGTCAACATAATTTGAAGCCAAAATACAATAAGGAGTGTAAAATATATGCAAATATATATATGTATATGTACATACAACATGCATATAACTTGATTCGAGTACTATAATAGGTATATAAATATGTATAAAAGAACATGAAAACTACGCTCTCTGCCACTACAAAGCCCACTTAGCCATGTATTGTATGCACTTGCATTCACCATGTGTGTATACATACATACATTTGACAGAGTACATATTTGAATAGTTATAATACAGAGCCACAGTCACATGTGAGCTTATATACATATGAATGTATGTATGCACGCGCATATTGACGCTTTTATGCCCAGCTAACAAGCACTTCATTCCAATCCAGCGCACTGCCGCACAATGCAGCATACACCACCAGCTAACTATCAGGAGACTCAGGAGTGTCTATGCAACGAGCGAAGAAAACCAATTCAAATCTATGCACAAAACTCATAAAAACTGCACAAATTGCATGGGTTTATTCAATGCATTTAAGTGTGTTTGTATGTACTCTTACGAGTGTACATACACGTACATATATCCATATCCATAAGCAGCAATGGACGCCATGGCATTGAAACTCGCCTCCATGTTGTGGCAAAGTTCAATAACCTTTGACTTTGAGTGCGCTGCGCAGCTAAGATAGCTCGAGAACTCCATGCGCGTTGCACCCGACTCGAAACGAAGCGAACGAACGAACAAGGAGTGTCGAGCAGCAAATTTGTACGGTTGGTTGTGCGAAATACTTCAATACATATATACATATGTATGTACAAATATAAAGAAGTCTACTTGGCCAAAGTGGTAGTAGATTTGCAATAAAATAAATATAGAACAAAATGCAAAAAGCATAATTAGGAAATAAAATAAAAATAAATAAATAGAGAGAGAGAGAGAGCTACAGACAGGCAGACCAACAGGCAGAGCGTAATTGCGAGAGTTGAGAGATAAAGCTTTTATTATAAGCTCTAAAAGTGCATAGGACATGCTTATGTATTGAAGTAAATATGCATTTATATATATGTATGAATGTATATAGAAATACACACATGTATGTACATATGTATATATGAACATTTCCGCAAATACGTCTAAAGTAGATGAAAAGTTTTAAAAGTGAAAAATACATTGCTTTAATGCACATTCACACGCATGTATGCATATACATATGTGTATATATATATATATATGTATGAATGTTTATCCAGGGAATTTCAACCCCTCCGAGTGCAATTTTAACATGAAAAAAAGGCTCCTCATAAAAAAGCCCTCAGCCGTTCGCAGCCGGCTTAGTATCGAGACGCAAATCCCCAAATTGGAGGAGGAGCTCGGCCAAAAACCGTTTCAGCGTTTTCTAAGCGTCAATTATTTATTTGACAATTCTCATATGATGAGGAGCGGAGCCATGAGAAGAAATCCAAGTGAGAATGGCAAGAATCGATTATTTTACATATATTTGAAGCGGCTCTCGATATTTGGTCTAAGACGATGCATCCTCTGAGGAGTCAATAAACATAACATTGGAAGCGAGCTAAATTGAGAAGGCAAGCCCTCTGTAGTTGTTCATAGGGTTTGGGATTCACCACATTAAAAACCTACCCCAATTTAAGGATCACGATTTGAAGGCAACGAGAGTGAACGGTCACTGGAAACTCAGAGCACCAATCTATGGTACGATGGTATAGACATTCCATTCCACAGCTATGACGACCCATCAAGGGTAACAGAACAGAGGGTGCCGACAGATGACCGTTCGAAATACGTATGTATGTAAGCAACGGCGGCAAAGAATTGACAAGGTTCAGCATGCTCGATTATTGGGACCTGAATTCGCGCTTATTATCATGGGATATGTATTTTCAATATCAAATGTGTGACGTCTAATCGCGCGTGCTGTGGGTTAGGCTAAAGCCCACCGTCAATATACTGATCCGACCTTATCTGCGTATCTTTAAACCGGGTCAATCCTGCATTAACCAGATTTACGCCATATCCCAAATTCTCGCTCTCTCTTCGTCGTTCTTATAAAGCTGCCTCGATTTGGTACATCCGCAGGACTGAGCGACTTTGTAAAGCGACGCTCAACAACATCAAAAGCTTCGTCAGAAAGCACGCATATTGGACTCTCCCTTCTCTTCTCTGCAAATAAATCGTCGATTTTCATTCTTTACTTCATAAAAAAAAAAACCTTCTTTCTTCACCAAAAAAAGTCGAGGAGAAAGTTTAATAAACTGAAAACTCCAATAATTTACTGTCATTTAAGTTGGTAAGTTTTAATGGGAGCCAAAATGTTTTCTTTGATTGCATAATATTATTTTCCTATCCCTACATTTTTTAACATACATTTATTTATATTTAAAAGCGGAACTAAAGCTAAGCCTAAAAATCATTATTCTGTATCGACCGAGTCATCATCCTCATCATCATCATCTTCATCAGCACTGTCGTCCAGCTCCGGCATGGGAAAACGTAGAATAGCCGCAATGCCGGTGAGGTTGGCGAGTTGCTCGCCAGAAATATGCATGCTGGAGAATATTTTAACTTCGCCACCGGCCTCGCGCACCGACTCGACGAGATTAACATATTCCTTACGCTGGCTGACATCTTGGCAACGGAAGAGATTATCCGAAATGAGTAATGTCTCTATCGCCATCGCCTTGGCTGCCTCCAGCACATGCTTCTTACCGTAAAATGCACGCGCCGGCTCAGTATGCAGTATGGTGTAGAATTGCTCGAGCACTTTGACTTCTCGCACGGCTTTCGTATCGGATATTTTCACCATAACACTGGGATCTTGCAGCACCTCTTTTAGCGATTGCTTGAAGCCGGACGACGAGCGTACGAGTATGAATTTACTCTTGTTATCCAACAATACTTTGATATCAATCTTCACAGCCTGTTGAAACATATATTCGAAGAATTGATCACGCACGAAACCCGGTGATGCCAATAGCACACATTTGACAATATCGAAATTCACATGCCTGAGTATGCCCTGCATGACGCTGTCGTAGAACTTCACCAAACCCTTCTCATGCTGTTGAGTGTGTCCTTTACGTTTGCGCGGTATCGACACTTCGATCTTCGAGCGCACCAGCGTCATGCTGGCCGTGATTAGGCACACATACGCCAAACCCTCTTGCATTACGACCGCCGCCAAGTCGGAGGACTGTGTTGGATCGCAGGCCATTTCAATGCGCTCCAACGCTATGGTATCCCATTCGGCTTTGCGCAGTTCAAATTTTCGATTCAACTCCAAATCGAGTGTGTGATATGCACCCATCTTCACATATTGATTCTCCTCAATATTCCGTCCTTTCAGGCGCAACATGCATGCTTGCGTATCGAAGTCTATGGACTCTACGCTTATGGTAAGTGTGGTGCGTACACGACTGCTGGTCGACGAGCCGGTTGCCGATTCATTTTGCACTTTTCGTATGGTTGTGCTGCGCACTTGATCGCCTTCGGATATAAGATTGTATGTGTGCCACATGTCTTCGGGCTCCTCTGGTATCAGCGTCACGGAGCCCTGTGCGCCTTTATCAAAATTTTTGCTCACCAGCCTCATTTTTCTATGTTTGGGAAGAGTAGAAAAGTTTTTGAAAATCAAAATGATAAACAAAGAGGTTTTTGAAATCTTCTTACATACATAGATATTTCAGAAAACGTGCGCCATTGATGCTAATTAAAATTAAATATACAAAATTTGATTTATTTTTCAAAATTTAGAAGTAATCTAAGAGCTGTAGAGACCAGATTGTAAGGATTGATCTCCAAAATACCTTAGATGTTTTGGAAAATACGGTTCTCCCACATTCATTTTCGAAAGCAAAAAAAAATTTGAGACATTCTTACTTGTGAACAATCTAGTTAAGTTCACGTGGATCCAATATAATACTGGTCAAGACCCTATACTAATTATATTAATTTAGAAGTTCTACGTATAGTTTTCTAGAACTGTCATTAAATAGTCACGTTGCATCTCCTAGCAGTAGTCAGCCATCACAAATCATCAGCCTTGCCACCTTTCTTGCATAGTTTTTAGGTCCTGGAGGAACCGCTCGCTTTGCTCTTCGCTAAAACTATACAGACTGTCTGGTAACTTGTCGAGATGGTTGTGGAGGCAACGCACTACGTTTGGCATATTACATCCTAGCTCTGGTTGGGTTGGTTGGCTGGTTGAAATAGTGATATCATTGATCCAAAAGACCTCCGCGCGGCAATCAAACCAATTTGAGATGTTTGTAATCAGCTACCTGGCTCCAGTCTCCCAAGGTTGTCGCCCCCAGAGACTTCAACCTACTCCTGCAAAGTGCGAGGCATTCGTCAAAGAAGTGCCTTAAAGTTCCAAAGTTCCTCATTTTGTCTGCAACTTCAGCGCAGAAGTCGTTAGATTGGCAGGCCGAAGCCCACCCTGCATGTCTGCTCAATAAAACAAGCCACGTACTGCGTCTCTTCCGGCCTTCTAGGCCTAATGGAAGATTTTATAAAAGTTGACAGCAGATCATTCGTTATGTCCACGGACTCTTTACAAACATATTGCGCAGTCAGGGCTTTTCTTCAACTTTTTGCCATGTTTCTGTCGGAGTCAGAGAAATACTTTACGTTTCAAGGGATCGACTGTCCTTTCTATATTTCAACTGTACATGATTATTTGTGTAGATCACTTAGAATTCTGGAACATTTTCTTATAGTTATGTGGATGATGCTGAATAACATTGCACAACAATCAGCGCTCCTCACTTTCCAGATAGGGATGCTCACTCCGTAAAAATCAACAGGTCAAAACTCTTTCAGAAACACATTTAATGGCTCTTACAGGCGTTCAAAGTCATCCGTTGTATATTAATGATTGAAGTGCTCTTACGGTCTTGGAAATCTCGAAGAACTTCTACTTTGATTTTCATATTGTAGTGATTTAATGCAAAGTATTTCTAAGAACTATCATAAAACTCTCTCTTCTTCTTTTACCGCTGATCTTGATAAAGTCTAAATATATTTATAGGACTTTGTCCTGAGTGACTGACAGATCACCATTGATCGTAGATACCGGAAATCTGATAATATGGTAGCTTTTTCGATCGATCAATCGCTATTTACGGAAAGATCATACTCATGGTGCGATTTGCTTTCCTTCTAGGGAAAGGAACCTGGGACCTTTTGGAAAAAAATATGTTTTTTTTTTTTGGTAATCGGTAAAAATTAAAAAAATTCCCCACCGATGTGCAAGTCCAATTGTCGTAAATTTTGGTGAAATAATAGAAATCGTCGAGTCTGACCATTATCCGAGCACTGTTTCGATTGCCCAGGAGCTAGAAATTGCACAAAAACAGTTTGGATCACTTAAATAGGGATACACACAAAAGCTTCGCCCATTTATTTGACTTGACGAGCAAAAATTTCATGGACCGAATTTTCAGCCGCGAATCGTTGCTGACTTGTAACAAAATCGACCCATTTCTGAAGCGGATGGTGACTGGTGATGAAAAATGTACCACTTACAGCAACGTGAAATACAGACGGTCTTGGTCGAATGACAGTGAGCCGGCTCAGTCTACAAGTCGATATTGAGGACCAGGAAGATTTTGTTATATGTTTGGTGAGGTTGGCGAGAAATCCTCCACTATGCACTACTCCTCTACAGCCAAACGCTTATTTGTAACTTGAACCGTCGCCCAGCTTTGTCTAACAAGAGGAGAATTGTACTTCATCAGTACAGCGCTAGACTACACACATCGATAGTGAATCGCCAGAAGTTCAGAGATCATGGTTGAGATGTTCCTACGCGTCCATCTTACATTCCGAATCTCACACTAAGTGATTATCTTCTGTTTCTGTCTATGGTGAATTATTTTACCGTATCTAAAACAACGGTTGGAGGGGTCCAAATGATTTGGACAAATTTTTCAACCGAAATCTCATATCTGAACAAATCGGTTGAATGGGGGGCTATATGTTAAAGTCACCCGATCTGGGTAATTAACACAGGACACATAAACATCTGCATACCAAGTTTGGTTGAAATTGCTTAAAAACTAGTTCCTGTTAGCACTCGGATTTGGCTAAATCATTCATTTCTTCTATACCTGAGACTTACATACTTCGGACCAAAGCCAGCCAGAAGGCCAGCGTTCAAGTCTTGGCACGACCAACATCCAAAAGTTGTAGAAAATTAATTTGAATAAAAAATTAAGTTAAATTTTCTAATTGCGGCCGCCCTACGGCGGGGAATGTCAACCCCTCCCCCGTGTGTATTTCGGACATGAAATAAAGGCTCCTCGTAAAAAAACCATCAGCTGTGCGGAAGTGGCTTAGTATAAACTTGTAGGTCCCTCCATTTTGCTGGAAAAAACAACAAGACGCAATACCACATATTGGAGAAGGAGCTCGGCCGAAAAATCGCTTCAACGGTTACAAAGCGTCAAATATATATATATGTCTATATGTATATATGTGTACGTATAAAAAAAAAACAAAAATCTATTAATATGTGCTTATACATATTTAATGAAGGTTTTAAATATATACACATATGCATATACATATATACATATATATTTTTTCTTGCTTTTTTTTCTGCTGAAGTTTCCAAAAAAAATTTGTTTTTTTTTGTTCTTATTAAATGAAGTTGCATAAGTTCCGAAAGGGTGTATTCTTATGTACACAAATAGGTATGTATGTATGTATGTATATTTAATACAAAGAATTGTTCACTTTCAGCAAAAAAATACGAATTACTATGACGCAAGTAATGCAAATGAGAATGATGATAATGCAAAAGTTGTTGTCGTAGACGTAACAACAAAATCGCAATCAAACTTGGGCGCTTATACCGGCTACCACCGACGCTCAATGTAAATTTCATTCACACTGAACACGAAGTGAATAAATAACGGGTGATACATGATAGCTGCTACAATAAAGTCTGTTTTCAAAATAATCTCAATTTTTAATTTTTTTTTTCGTTTTTTTCTTATAAAAAAATATACATTTTTTTATTAAAAAAATTAAAAAAAAATATACCTTTTTTATTAAAAAAAATTAAAAAAAATATACTTTTTTTATTAAAAAAAATTATCTATAAAAAAATTAAGTCGCACACCAATGAAACTCAACAGACTTGAGATTTCAATTATACGGCATTTCCACGACAGCCCATACGTATCGCTCTCTCAAATAACGAATGCGAATTATCCCCATTCACACGGCACACAGTTGGACAGTTTTCGTTTTCGCTTTTAGTAGAAGTTAACAAAATCTTGAATTGAACTGGTAATGTAATGACAGTTTCTTTAGTAATTTCCCATTTTTTTTTCTTCAAAGAGTCTTTGATTTCGAATCAATGTTTGTGTGTTAGTTTCGACTTTTATGATTCTTCTCTCTTTTGTTTTGATTTGTAAGCTGGTTTCGATAAAATATCGATAAGAATTAGAGAAGGCATCGATTTGGTCGTAATTCGCATGGCAATTGAGAACGAATTACCTACTTTTACTGTAATTCGCTCACGAAAATTTGTATGGCGAATTAAATAATTCAGCATGTAGTTGGAGTGGGAATTACGATTGAGAGAGGAAATTTCGTATTAGATTTCGAACGAGCGATTTTCGATCTCGGCGTTTCATTTTTACTGTGTTTCCATTCAAATTCCATTTAAATTTAAATTAATTTTAAAAAAAATAAAAATTAAAATTAAAAAAGTCAAGAAATTACCGAAGAAATTTGAACTTTTTAGTACTGAAATATGCTTCCGTTACCTTATATTTATGCGTAAATAAAAGTAAATATACATAACAGATAGGGATATAACCATTTATACATACATACATATATATATGGTATGTATGTACGCATGTCTACGTACAAAAATTCACATTGTTGAAGCTTTCAAACTGGAGTTTGCGTGTGACAACGAGAATTCGGCAAGTAGAGCTTTGGCGAGCGAAAATCATGTATGTATGTATGTTATTTAACTGGCTTTTTCTCCAGCCGGAATGTACTGTCCATATCTATGAATAACAATTGAAAATAATATATACAGTGCTGAACAAAATAAAAGAAACAAGCCCAGCATAGTCGTAGTTTTAGAGAGGTTGGGTTAAATATCTCCATTTTTGTTCCTTAACCCAGGTAACAGCATAAAGTGTTCTTATGTACTAGATTGTCTCTTCTCAAAAATAGAACGCGCAGCTACATAAGACTTGAATTTTAAACGTGTTTTAATCGAAATTCTTTTTTTTTTTAATTAGGATACATAGCCATTTAAATAAAGGGTTATTTTTTAAGAGCTATATGAAAGTTTATCAAAAATAAACAAATAATATTCAAAAAAATGCATGAAAGGTACGGTCCATATAATTTAATGTTTGAAGATTATTTCATGCAAATGTTGATCGTGACTACGCCTCAAATGGTCCACCCGCTTTGTCCAATTTTTAGCTTACTCTTTCCAGCATTTCGGCCCTTATCTCACGAATAAAAGCTTCAATGTTGTCCTCCAATGCGTCAATTGATGCGGGCTTGCCTTTATAGACATTAGATTTAACATAGCCCCACAAAAATAGTATAAAGGCCACCGAACTCGCCTCTCACTAAGTCCATTGTTACGCGTACCGTGTGGCATGTGGTATTGTCTTGTTGAAACCACATGTCATGCAAGTCAAGATCTTGCATTTTGGGTAAAAAAAAGCTTGATATCATAACACGGTAGCGCTCACCATTCACAGTTACTTTACGATTCGCATCATCTTTGAAGAAGTACGGTCCAATGATGCCACCAACCCATATACCGCACCAAACTGTGACTTCTGGCTGATCTTAACTACAAACTCGACAATTCCGCTTATTAACGCACCCATTAAGCCAAAAATGTGCTTCGAAGCGCACGGGGAAGAAGCAAGCCCTGAACTTTCTTAACAGAGCAAGCATTTTGATAATAAAATTCAATGATTTGCAAGCGTTGTTCGTTTGTAAGACGATTCATGGTTAAATTATAGACCAACTGAAGATGCTTGACACTGATACAAAACCCGAAACGTGCATCAGCTGTTTAAACCAGTGTTGCCAAAAAGATAATAGCTAAAAAATCACCCTTAACTATATAACCGATTCTTTTTCACGATATCTACAACCTCGAGTTTTCCTTTTCCCACTTATGAAATGAGAAGATTTTTCAAATAACCACAAATCGTACATTAGAAATCAAAAGACTTCAAATAAATTTAATTAATTTCCGAAAGAGATCAAGGAGGGGTAGGCGTCCCAGAAAGCGGAAACCACCTAGTAACTGGACAGTATTAATGTTTTTTACGAAAAAAAAAACAACGGTTAAAAAATTTATATGAAAAATAAGTGCATTCGAAGCAGGAATTAATTTGTAATCTTATAACTAATTTCATTCTTATATAAATTCCTCAACGTTTTTGTTTAAAAAAATACACTTAGTGCACCAAGGGAAGAGTGTGACGAAATTATTTATTTATTCTTTTTAGTGGGAAAGATTTTTAAATAAAGAATTATGCATTAATTCTTGCGGTTTTGAAAGAGAGGGCTCTAATAGTATTATTTCGCGTCGTGTTCATCTGTGGCTATATTCTTTTCAAAGGTACTGTCATTTCGCGTCGTTTTCAGTAGATGACATTTGTTTTAGCGTAAACAACAATTTGCTTCATTCATTTGAAACTTGTACCAGATAAAGAATTTTTGCGTGGAGTTCTTCTTCATTACTTTAACATGAATAAAAGTGCTACCGAAAGCCATTCTATTTTACTGAACGTTTATGGTGACCATGCTTTAGCCGATCGAACGCGCCAAAAGTGGTTTGCACGGTTTAAAAGTGGCGATTTCGCCAGCCAAAAAAAAAACACAAAGTTGGATGTGGAAATTTATCTCACTTTTTCCAAGTATAAAATGCCTACAAGTGATATGCTGCTGACGTCAGCTGAGAGATACGCGAATAATATTCACTACAATTTGAATGCATTTTAATCTACGCTTTACTTCACAAAAGCATTAAAATGTTAATGTTAATCTAATCCTCAAATTACATCTGTACATACATATGTATGTAGACTGATTTTATTTAGCACAATACTGTAGATGTAAAGTAGCATGTCCACACGCACGGATTTCCTTATTTGCATATGTACATATGTACAAGACAATATATAGTTTTGGAATACATACATATGTATATTACAACGCTAAGCGCTTTATAGCGTAATAATTTTTGGAGGTACACAGAATAAACTCACAAGCAGGAACCTTGAAGAAGGATATTAAGTTCCTAACAACGCAAATATTCTTATTTACATACACACACATAGGCTTGTGACCATAGTAAATATGTATCAGCAGCAGATATCACGTTAATCTATTGCACTATATGCCGGATAAAACAAAAGCTCTACGCCAAAATAAAGCGGGAGGTTGAATGACCTTTAAAAGAATGCACACATGCACACATGCACTTGTGGTGTTTTTGTCAAATGCGTATTTTACGAATGTACATTACACATTACTATGAAAGTAATCAATTATCAAATTTTGTTTCTTTTTTCTGCCGTTAATTTTGCATTGCAACTTTTTTTTTGTACTTTTAATACAGACAGCCAGTTTATTTTAAAATAGGTACAGAAGCTTTAAAGCTTTGCGACACAAAAAGTTCCACTCCAGCGATATTCTTTAGAGTTAAAGAATATTTTATATGCACTTACATTTCTATTTTGACAGATTTGTATGCTAATATAACACTTTTCTTTTATTTGCACTGTTGCGTTTATCTTTCAATCATTTATTTTACGAATTTTCGCATCTTTCAGTCGGCACTTAATTTATTAAATAACAAAAAAAGTCAAATAAATGCCCGAAAAACACGCGTCAAATCATTAGCAAATACAAAAAACTACTGATGTTCTTTTGCGGAAGCAGAACAGAGCACATGGCTGTTCGCAGTGAACGCCCGCATAACAAAAACAACACACACGAGTTTGTTGTACATAAACACACAAACCTAAATGCATATATGCACGTACATATGTATGCATGTGCAAAAACAAAAATTACCATACAAAAACACACCTGACGTACATGTGCTGCGCTAGCAAATTGTCAGATAGAAAATTAGGCAAAAAACAACAAATATCTTTTTTAACACAGATATTTCTCACATTAGAAAAATACAAAACAACTAAAATTTGTAGCAGAATAATAAACACAATTTCATAAACAATAAATTAAACTTATTTCACAATGGCGCACGTTCGTTTTATAGATATTATATTTATATAAAATATTTATAAATTGCTTTACCTTTCAGCTGGTTTAGTAATTTAGCAAAAATGTTCTTGTCAACAAAAAATGACAGACTGCATAAAATGTCAAATTCTGATGTAGACATTACATAGCGCTGCCATATTGATGAGTAGAAAATGGCCAATATGTACTAAAAATCGATAGCTGCGATTTCTATAGAGTTATCGAAATAATATTCACAATAAAAATAAACGAAAGCTGAAAATAAAAGAATATGGGGTATAAACCGACAAGAGGTGATATTTTTAAGAGTATTATTTCAGTACTTAGCATTTATTAAGTGATTGGGTATTGAAAAGATTATTCTTTGGAATAGCTTAGTTATATTTTATGTGTAAGAAAGTAAGTTTTGTTAAATCATCGAGGTGTGATTAACAAAAATATATTTCGGAGAACAAAATCTTTTAATTATATTATTTGGAGTTTCAGAAGAATGCTTCACCCCGTTGCAGAAAAGTGAAATCTTTTAATTCATTCCATATATATATGTTTTGTGGGGTTTTCTTCTTTCATTTTGTTCAATTCATGTGAATACCAGAAAATATGACATTTTGAACAGGTTTCTTCGCTCATAATAGGTTAAAAAATAAATTTAATTTAATAAACAAAATGTTTGGAAAAAAATTTAGCTTGATTACAGTTTTACTCATCGAAATACAGGGTCCTGTGGCGCAATGGATAACGCGTCTGACTACGGATCAGAAGATTCCAGGTTCGACTCCTGGCAGGATCGAATAAATTTCGTTCTTTTTTCTTTCAAAAACGTATTGACTTAAAAATTAAAAATTTCGGACTTTCACAAAGACTTATTTTAAATGTGAGCCAAGATTTAGCTTTTTCGCAGGGCAATATAAAATAATGCAATTTATTTTATTCACCTTGTATCTACTTCTGATATTTTTAGCAGTGTAGTGTTTTTGTTAACTTATGGTAAATAAATTATAGTTCAAAAAATTTTTTATATGTATTTTCATAAAACGAATTTTTTCAATAGAGTAAGCGAATAGCGTGATACAATAATTTTTTTAATTTATTAATTTGCCGTAATGAAATAAATTAAAATTATACAATAAATAAATGAAGGTTTAAGATCTTTATTTAAAAAAAAAAACAACATAAATATTTTTTAAGCTGAATTATATTTTACTAGAATATGTAAAAAATTTGTTTAACCCCTCATTTATAACCTACATTTTAAATAACTAGTTTATTATTAACGCAAAAAAATATATAAAAATAAAAGTTTGCAATTGCAATAGAGATAGGTTGCTTATGAATTAACTTTCAATAAAAATTTTAGTAATTTATTTTATTAACGATTTTCGCTAAATAGTCTTACTGATAGCTCATATCCACACGGGGATTTTTTTTTTTAAATATTACCAAACTCATTGTACAATAATCCATCACTGGAATTTTGAATAAAAGCTTCAAAACTATTTGTTCAGTTTCTCTATTGTAAATAAATACACAGTGTAATAACTTTCTGGTCACAACTTTGCTCCACTTTACACCTTTGTTGTCACTAGCGAGTTCTAAACTCAACTCAATATGGGAGCAGTGCGGTTTTCACTCTTACATAGCCATTGATTGCTTGCATGTTGTTTAAAAGATTCTGCTTGAGTGCGCCCTGTAAAGATCATTCGATTCACGCACTATAGAAAATGCTCTAGTTATTGGTATCTCTTTTTCAGCTATCATTCGTATTTAGCATTTTCACCACATTACTCATCAAATCATTTCTTATTGCAGATCATTAAATAACTTTAGTACACATCAGTAGCAGAGAACATGCGAGAATAATAATTAATATCAGTTCAAAAATAGCTGGTGGCAACACTCATAGTTGCTTTATAAATTTAGCAGCTGAGCGTGTTAGCAAACTTTAGAAGTTAGAACATTCTAATAAACCATTGTTTGAATTAAGCACTCTGCCATAAATTTTATACAGCCTCGGTGGCGCAGTAGGCAGCGCGTAAGTCTCATAATCTTAAGGTCGTGAGTTCGAGCCTCACCCGGGGCAGTTAATTTTTTACATTTTTCTTTAGAAGATTAATTGCGGCATGTTTGCAAAACTGTGCGGCGGCGGCGTCTCTATTTTTCCCGATTTCACATCTTTGAATGGTCAACGTTGGCGTTTTGTGCAATATTGGAATGTGAGTTTGACAAAATTTATTACACCACAGCTGTAGGATTGATTTGAATGCATTACGCACATTTACAATATTTATGTGTATGTAAATATATTGATGTTCTGTTCGCACGTCTGGAATGTCACATCGCTTCCATACAGAAACACCACCAGTCGACAGGTGTCGGTCGCGTTCAAAATCGAAGCTACAAAATACAATTTAATATGCAAAACTAGCTGTGTTTCGGTTCAATGATGTTGTTAACTTATTGGTGACAAGTTGAGTTCATTAAATTTGTTAATTAAGACGATAAATCTTTGTGCATTTGCAAATGTCGCATGCATACATATTTTAGGCAAATTTTATGTTTTCCACAGCATAAAATTAAAGAATAAATAAGCGAACAAAAAGGAATAATATTAAAAGTGACAAATTTAGTTAACGTTGGAAAATTTATGGGCCGCGGATTAATTATTTAAGTTCGGCATTGAGTGCGATAGAGAACCGGCTGTTGAACTAATTGCTAGTGAATAATTTTTTTTTTGCCGACAACAATGTTGGGATTTTAATAAACATTTTCCAATAAACTTGCTTGAAGTGCATATTTAATTTTTTTTATTTATTCATTAATGTGTAGAACCGCTCTTAATTCAACAAAAGTGCCGAAATGTTAAAAATAATTTATATACAAATTAGGCGCTATAACTGTCAGTTTTATGCATATGCTATGCACATACTTACATACATACATATGTATGTATGTAAATGCGATCACATAGTTACAGATTAGTTGTTCTAATGATAGAAAAGACTCGAGTAAGCGTTGAGCATTCGTTTCTTTAATTAAACAACTGAGAAGATAGAAATCTCTGGGATTTATTGCTGTCACGTTGATGATTGTCGCTATTTTTTATAGTTAACTTTTCACACATTTTTATTGAACAATGATAGAGAATGCATCAAAAAGTAATTGTTAACCACAAAAAAACATTTTATCGTAAATATTTATGTGCATTGATATATATGTACTCGTACATATGTATACTTGACGTAAAGTTGAGAATTATTAAATTTGTTTGAAGATGCAAAAATATTTTTTATTTAAAAAGTAAAAAAAAAATAGAATAGCAGTTATAGTAATAATAACAATAGTAAAAAATAATAATAATAATAATAATAATAATAATAATAATAATAATAATAATAATAATAATAATAATAATAATAATAATAATAATAATAATAATAATATTAAAAATAATAATAATAATAAGAATAATTATTATAAAAATAATAAATTAAATAATAATTACAAGAAATATATTTTACTCTGATTTTCCTAATATAAGTTTTATTTTATTTTCTCCGAACATCAAAAAAGAGCAATAAAATAAAATACCAAAAAAAAGCAAAAATAATACTAAAAAATATAATAGGAATAAAAATATAATGGCTATAATATAATTTAGTTTTGTTGCTCTGATTTTCTCAACGTGATTTCTATTTTATTTTTTCCCAACATCAAAAAAAGAAATAATAATAAAAAAATAAAATAAAATAATAATAATAGAAATAAGTTATAATAAATACAAACAAATATAATTTAGTGTTTTTGCCCTGATTTTCTTAATATTAATTTTATTTCGTTTTTTTCTGAACATCAAATAAAAATAATAAAATAAAATAACAAGAATAATGAACATAGTAAACCTAATTTCTTCTTTCTCTGATTTTCTCAATTATTTATAATAAATACAAAAAAATATAATTTAGATAGTGCTTTTTTCTTAACATAAATTTTATTTTAATAATTTTAATTTAATTTTTTTTTTATTGAAGTTAAAGACTTAAAGCATTAAAACAAACACAAAAATTTAGAAAGGACCGCAATCAGGCCAATCAATAGGTACATACATACATACATATCAATGTACATACATATCAATGTGTATGTATGTATATTTGCAATTCTATCATTTTTGTATCTTTTTTATTACGGATAAGTGTTGGTAAAATACAAAACGAATTTCAACGAACTTCGATTCAAAAATATTTCCACTGAGCATTCGCGTATTTTCTCAACTAAAACGTATTTTTTAGCGAGTTGAGGCGTTTTTTTTAATACTGGTCATTACAAAACGAATATAGCATAGCTGCTGATAGAATACAGGGTCCTGTGGCGCAATGGATAACGCGTCTGACTACGGATCAGAAGATTCCAGGTTCGACTCCTGGCAGGATCGATATTCGTCAGTTTTTTATAATTTTCTGATCAATTTGTGAATAAAAAAATATATTAAAATTTCTTAATGTACGATAAATAAATAAAAAAAATATATGAAAAAGATCTAGAATTGTGTTTATAAATATCTATGTGCTTTGAATACACAATATTCGAAAGATAAAGTTTTTGTGTCTAAAAAGCCACTCTTAAGTTAAATAGAAACTTACCCGCCATTTAATATCCATACAATTAAAAAGCTTGTCATAAAAAATAGTCACTTTATTTTATCTCTTTATATTACAAATATGTTGTTTAAATTCGTTTTGCATACAAAAAATTGTCTCAAAAGCACCGCCTTCAGATTAAATCGCCGCACAGTGGGTTGATGTTAGAAAAAATTAGGTTTCTAAATAAAATTGAATAGTCCAAACAAAATAAAATTATTGTAGCGGTTAAAATATTCCCCAAAGTAGTTTTTGGGGAATGTTCGTGAGTGACAGTACTTGGCTGGATAAAAA